TTTTTTAAAATGTAGTATTTTCTCTGTAGGATTTGTTTTACTTTGTGCAGGTTTTTTCCCAAATTTAATAACCCCAGATTTTCAAATGGTTAACCCCTGATTGTGATCAAAAGAAAAGGAAGGTGGGTATCTATCAAGTTAATAATGATAGAAATAAAAATATACTTGTACTCTAAATAGAGACACAGGATCTATGCACAGGCAACCTCTGTTTAAACTCAATCTGATACAAAATGTAAAATAACTTATTCCTTTATTCTTTTCTAAAAGGTCACAAATACAAATAATTACAAAAACAACAACAAAACACTATATGACATAGTATCTGTAAAGTGATTTATACTAGTGTGATTAACTACATAAAGATGGCAATGCTGTATGTTGTATATTCTATCAGTACACTCATCACTGCAATAATTTGTTTAGTAATGTTGAGCGCAAAAACTGAACAATAATAATGTGGTTCGATTGAAAACTTGTCATGTAAGACATTTGTCATCCCTGATTGTTGTGTACTGTTGTAGTTTTCTATTAGCCATACTACTAATATTACTGTGATGTCAGAATTAAATCTGGGTGAAAATTTTCAAAATTGAGTATTGATACATACTACGGTAGTATATTATTGAATATTAAAATTATTTCCAGAAGTAGCAAATCAAGTATTTCACGAGACGTGAATTACATAAATCAGTGAATATTTTGTATAAATCTCTGAATAAGTTAGTCATATCCCAAGTCATATTTAATGATATCTTATGCATATGCTAATTTGTACTTTAAAAGCCACTTTTGCTGCCCTGAAATCGATAGGACTGAAAACCGCTCGAGAGCTATCTTTGTTGGTGCGCTGTACAGTTACAGCAATACAGTGCTTTTTTAGAGTTCTGATATATAACAGCCTCATGTGCACTTTTATACAAAGAGTGCTGTTGTTACGTTTTTTTAAACATATATACGTCATTATTTCCTGACACTGTAATGTTCCCTGTATATGGCCATCTAAAAAGTAATTAATTCCCGTGAATACAAACAATCTAACATTGATTAACTACACAGATAGTTCTAGACTATCCACTAAAAGGCGCAGCATTTTATTCATCGTTTTTTTCACCTTTCGCGCGACATATTTTGTGATTATCCCAATCAGTGGCTTGCAGTGTTACATGTCTATCAGAATTATAATTAACCTCACCTTCGTGGAGTACTTTTGGTATTAGCGACGTTTCCTGTAATCCGTTTAGTTCACAATATACGTCCGACTCGTGGTACGTACTTCGTTGATAACTCTCCCCTGCCAACTGCCTCAATTCTTCTTTCAGATCGACATTTCTTTGCAGTTGCGGGTTTAAATCGAAACGAACCCGTTTTCTTCTGTTCGACAAATGCGCAGTCACTTTACTGTACGGTATGGATATTGGACCGTGCCACATCGCGTCAGTACTAGTATTTACCGTATTTCAAGCATTATTTTCCGACGCCTTAGCGCGAAAGTAGAGTAGTGAGGAGAGTGTGAGTAGCGCGCCACCAGCGTGACATTGTACGTGTGTACTCATTCTTTTGATGACGTCACAAAGATCGCGCTGTGCCATTATGGACTCGTGATATTGTAGCTTGGTAATAACAATAAAGATACATTGTATTTGCGTTATATACTTTTAATGAGATTACGTAAAGTACGTACTTCACACGAACATTCACCACGTTACGTACTCCACATTATACTGGCTCTGATGTTGTGTAGTCCAGTTCGGAGAACGCCGGCCACCAACCGATTTGAACTCGTTCTCTCACCAAATTGTGATGCTACACATTTTATAGTGTTTAACAAAATACAATGCTATTCAAATGCTCCTGCATATATCTTGGCAAAATAATAAGGGAATTCACATAATGCGTCATTTTACTTTTAGCAAAGGTAATATCTGCCAGTTAGACTGAAAACTTGATACACGGAATCGAAAATCGGACAAGGGATCCAGGATCGTGTTCGAAAACTGTGTCATATGGCCATCGCAAGACTTTACACATTTCTTACCTTTAAAATGTGAAAAATTAAACGCTTTCAGAAAGAACATTAATGTCGATAGGTTTATTATTTAAAAACCGTAAATTCACAAGTTTATTTATTTATTTATTAATTTATGACTAAACATACTTGTATCGTTCTCTGTTTGTTTGTAGTTTACTGTACCTGTGACAAATAGAGATAAATAATTGGAAAGTACACTTTATATTTTTTTTACAATGAAGAAAGATATGTTTTTGAAAACTTTGTTGAATCTATTTTATCAGGGATACTAGTAACCGTGATTTAATTTGATACATTCCAGTGCATAGAGCATGTCGCTCTAATGGGCTGTCTGAATATTTATACATTTTGGTCCTGCGTTTTGACATACATGTACATTTAGTTGGCGTACCAGCGTACGGCCGTTCAACAGCGTGTTTGTGGGTTCAACAAGTTTTGTGTGATTTAATTCTCCGTTTTAGTGACGTCAATCAATTCTAGGAACTAGTACATCGATGATTTACATGGCTTTCTGTGCCACCTCAAATTAAATCTTACAACTGGCGTTTTTTTTCTCATCTTCAATCTACAAATTATGTTACTAAACGGTGGGACATGTGACTGAATTGAAAATTAGAAACATTAAATGTTGTGGAAAGGATACATCTGACTATCGTTGTAACTCTTGCGATCAAATCAAGTCACTGTCAAAATATAAACACTGTTTAGGTATATCACGTGAGTCATCACAAATGTACTAGTACTTTGATTACGCCACCTGCGTTGGGGTTGTAGCTAACAACAGAGGGCGCACTGATACTTCCCATGTACTGTAAAATGGTTAATTATTCACTGTGTTTTAATTTTGCTTTTTTTCGCTGACTGCAAAAT